TTGCTTCTGCTCCCTGCGACGCCTTACGCCGGCCGTGCGCGCCGTCAGAGCTGCCCTCGCTTCACCTCCCCTGGCGTCCGCAGGCATCTGACGGCAAGAGGTGCCGACGGCGAGGTTCATCCCGGAGCGCCCCGCGAGGGCGCAGAAGCTTCACGGGCCTTCGACATGCCATCGCGACTCTGCTCACTCAAAGATGCGGCGCCGTGCTGGGGGCCCCAAAGAGCGACGGCGTCAGATCCCAACTGGACGGTCCAGATCCCAACCAGCAAGAAAACAGGAACGGTCCAGGTCACAAACACCAGACAAATCCTTTACAACTTTACTATCGGTTGGGATCTGGACCATCCCAGTTTCAATATTGGTTGGGATCTGGACCGTCTGGTTGGGAGGACCTGGACCTTACAGTTGGGATCTGGTCCTTTCTCGCCTCCAGAGTGCGGACGAGCAGAAAAATATACAAGTGGCTCGGACTTCTGCCCCGTGCGAACCCCTAGGATTTGGGCAGATGGCCAGGAGGGGCACGGAATGTGAGGAGAGTCCGGCCGGGAGCGTGCGGGCAAGCCTGCTTGTGCATGGCGCTCCCGCCCTCTCCCGCTTCCTCCCCACGCGCCTTGTCGAACCGCGCGGGGCCACACAAGAGGCGCACGAGTGAGTCGGCGCACGAGCGAAACTCGAGACTTGCGTGCAGCCCCGTTCTTTTCTGGGCCTCTGCCACACGTCCCCCCCTTCACGCAGGCCAACTTACTGCCCGAACCCAGGGGAGAACTGCCGCCCCCGCTGTGGCAGACATGCGATGCCCATGCCGCTGATTACTCTCCGCGCTCCGAAACGCTCCACAAAGCGCGCTCCGACCAGAATCTACAGCTGTGCTCCGACAAGCCTAGAAGAAGGAAAACCGTTTTTTTACTCGCGGGTCGAGAGCGCACCTCTTCCGGTCGAAGCTAAGCGGGCCGCACAGGAAAGAAGAAATACCGGCATGAGCATAAACTGGTGTTCTGCGCGGAGTCCTTGGATCCGCGCTGGGCCCCCCTCCCAGGCGAACGGTGCGCGCCAGGGGCGGCGCCGGAGGCGCCGCTGGGGGGGCCCAGCGCGGATCCAAGAAATCCGCGCGGAGCGCCAAACGTTTACGCTTACGCCGTTTTTTCTTCGACAGTTCTCCCAGGCGGCCATGGCCGTGGCGACGAGCCCTTCTCGGGCCTGGCGCGGAGTGGGACCGGGATCCCTGGCAGTCTCGACCCCTTCCCTTGAACTGTTTGTTCATCCTCAGTCTTTTTGTGACAGTCCCGAGGCCTGACAGAGGGCACCCAGAAGCAGAAGACAGTATACAGCCTCGCTCTGGTTCTGTTTCTATAGCTCGAAGCCTGGGCATGAATGACAAGCGAAACTCGGCCCGAAGAGGTCAACGCGCGGAGGGATGCGCCAGTGGCGGCACGCTATTCTCCGCCGACGTGCATGCATCAATAAGCCAACTGGAAGCAAACAGCTCTGCAGGCGCAAGGCCAGCATGTTGTTGCTCACCGAAGGTAAGCACCACACACTCTCTAGGCACTGTTGCACTTCGTTGGAAGCAGAAGATGCTGCGAGATTCGACCACCTGGCCACTCACAAAAAAAACATGGCTGCCCAGGGAGGGACACACGTTGACAACTCTCTATCGCCAGATGGCCACTCCTGAGCCACGAATGCATTGCAGAGCGGGTGGGAGACTGGGGAGGGGCATGCCAATCCTTTTATGATGAACCTTGCTCCGATGTGTGACGGCCGCGCTCGGCGACCTCAAGAGTCCGACCCGGAGGTGCGGCTCGGGGTCGGATATCACGCAAGGGCGACCTCGGCATCATCCGCGAGGCGCGGGGCTATCCGCACCCACCGCCTGGGGGGGCGATATTCGAGGACATCGGCAGGCGGTGGCTGTGGATATGTTTGGCCATCTGGGGGCCCGAATCCATCCACATCCACCGCCTGCCAAGGTCCCCGAAGACCCATCCCCCAGATGGTGGTTAACCGACTGCCCCTGGTAACAATCCCGGGGATCATACAAGTTCGGGGGTCTGGTGGGGATAGTCAACAATTCCCCCAGCAAATGATGATAATGATGATGCTGATGCTGATGCTGATGGTGATGGTGATGGTGATGGTGATGGTGATGATGATGATGATGATGATGATGATGATGATGATGATGATGATCCTTGCACCGAACCGTAACTGAACTCCAATGCTCCGACTGCTCGAAAAACGCATGGAACTTCAAAATCCAATCGGTCCCCATGGCCCTGCCATACGTTCCTCACTCGGGAACGGCTGAGAAAATGAGAATCCCATGGCCCTGCCGCACGTTCGTGACTTGGGGAAACTGAAATGGTGAGAATCCCATGGCCCTGCCACACGCTCGTGATTGCGAAAGCTGAATTGGTGAGACCACCATTGCCATGCTCAACGTTTTTTGATGCTGTCGCTAGTCAACATAAGGTGCTAGCGACTTCGATTCGCAACTTCCCCCGGGGATTATCAAATTCGGCCTCCGCGCCCCTCTCCACAATTAAATCCGATTGACACGGGATAATAAATATTCAGGTGGGAAGGGGGGTATGTTTTACTATCGGGAGCAATCGGTTATGGATGCCTCCCCTTCTCGGTTCATCGTCGCCACCGTCATCACGGCCACCGTCACCGTCGTTGGCTTCCGGGAGTGCGGGCTTCTACAGGGCCACCCACGGCGACAAGAACAGCCGAACAGCAGCCGAGATGACAGCAAAACTGCAACCGATAGGCTGCAACCATCATGTCGGGAGCGGCCAAGAGGGGGATGTCCAAGAGGGGGGGTGTAAATCATGACCGTCGGCATGTGCGCGGCCCAGCGGGGGGACCAGGGACGTAATGAACTAAGAAGAGGCGCCATGAAATCTGGGGAAATATCATGGCCCCCGCGATGATATCCACCCCCCCTAGTCATCACCCACCTCTTTTCCGCCCCCGACCAGCATAGAAAGGCGCAGCGACGCGGCACCCGGCACGACAGCCGGCCGAAAGCAACCGACGGCGACGACGACGCGGGCGAACCGACCGCACTGGGGACACCCTCTCCGATGCAGTCAGGCAGCCTCCGAACTCCCAGGGCGGGAGGGATATGCTGGACTATGCTTCGAGAAAACATTATACCGTCGGGGCGTTGACCTAAGGAACCCTAAACAAGGAACGAGGCCCCTTTTCTCCAGAAATTCAATTTCGACTTCTCATCGAAAATCCAAGGATAACCTGGGGCAAAATGTGAAACAATGAAGGAACACGGAGCCCCTCCCCAACGAAAAGGGTTCCTTATTCAGAGCCCCGACTGTACCTCCATGAACACGATGGGGCCCGAACTCAGGGCGGACTGAGGCGACGGGCCTGGGCCGCAATTTCAAAACTATAGAAAATACGGGAACCCCGACATAGTAGGTTAAGGAGAAAGGGGTTGGCCGGACGCCAGGTCGTACTCGTTTTTAAACGAGGTGCTCACACGAGGGAGGGGGATGAGGAGAATGGGAGGAGAAGTGAGGAGAGGGAGGAGGGAGGGAGGGGGGAGGAGGAAGGGGCGGGAGGAGCGATCGAGCGATCCCACGTCCCCTTGTGCTGCAGAGCCTTGGAGCTATTGATAACCCCCGTCCTCACCCGCCCGAGCGCGAGGGCCCCTATTAAGCGCGGCGCACAGCCAGGGTCCCCCGGGACCACCACCAACGGCCGGTGGCGCGGCATCGGGAAGCCCCGGAAGGGCAGCTCGGACTCGGGGACCTCTGGCCTGCGGGGCCAGGAAAAGAGCGCTGGCTTGGCTGTCCCGCTGGGGCCAGTGGGTGACAGGCTATCACGCGCCTGCTGACGACGAGGTTGCTGCCGTCTTTGCTGCAGCCCTTGCAGTCCTGTTCATCCTGGTCAACTCCGAAACATGGAGGAGACAATACAATATCCATGACACGCAGCCGTCAAGGACTCATGGGTGCGTTGCTGTTGAAATAACACGAGGCCTCGGGGCTCAAACGAGAGAGCAACTCGCTCACGGGCTCCCAACAGCAACGTTCCACTAATACTCCGTGCGTCCCAACCGAATACGTATTAGACAATGCCCTTCGCACAAACTGAGGTGCACCCACGTCGGGCAGTCAACGGGCCGTACCCGTATCCATCCGCTGGCGATGCTCCCACCTTGCACGCACCTGCCTGTGGCATTGAGATGAAACTCTTTCTTCATTGGACGCTCGAGTGTGACTGCTGTCCTGGGTAACTCCGGTTTGGGCCCCCGAATCTCGAATCTGTACTTACCCCTGACTGCCCCCAGCCCTGATGATCCGGGAGGGTTGGACGTCCGAGTTATCTGGGATAGCTGATGTTCAAAGTTGCTCTGGTTTGGGCCCCCGAGGCGCGAATCTGTAGCTCTCCCTGACCGCCCCCAGGCCTGACGGTTCAGGGCGCTGACTTGCTGAACAGACACTGCACTGCAACGTTCGAACATCATTGAACCAATTGTGCATCCTTAGAACCGGCGTGCGGCCCCTTCATTCTCACCACGTCCCATCCTCGCCCCTCGAACTTTGAGCATCGTTTAACCGACCCGTATCCCCACGGGCGTGGCCTGGGTCCCTGAGATGGGAATAGAGGCTGTTCCCTTCGGGTTCCGAGGGGCATATCCCTGACTGGGGTGGTGGGATAGTGAGGATCGGGATGGGGATGGGGATAGGGACCTTGAGCAGGGACCGACCGTCCCAGCATCCCTTTAGGCCTACCACGACATGTCTTAGAACCCAGAAAGGTTCTAAGGACGAAAACCATGTTCTCAGAACATGAACCGATGTGTCAAACCAAGGCGGTCTCAACCAGAAACGCTCTACAGACATTTCCCGCAAACCACGGCATGATCGTTGAACATTCCCTGGACGCTTCGCCACTGCTTGCAGACCGGTTCGCCAAGACGCTTCGTCACTGCATGCGGATCGGTCAAACGATACTGCAACCACTCGGCGCCACGGAAGTCTGGGTTCGTTTTCTTCCTCCGCGCGAGCGAGGAACACTCACGCTGGGGAGAACGCCGCCGAGCAGAGGCCGCTGCTGGGGCCCTCCAGCGCGAGCAGGCACTCCTCGGGGGCACAGGGAGACGGTGCCAACGCCGCGCCGGGCGGAAGATCCCACGAGATCGTGGGGCACTCTTCGGCGAGAGCCTGGGTCATTTGGTTTTGGGGGGGAGGAGGTGCCGGCCGATAAACTAGACGTTGCGCGTCGGGCAGCCCCCATCGTGTGCCCGGGCGCACCACTACTGCATACTCGCTTCGAACCTGCGCAACAGACAGAGTCAGGTTATCCTGGAAGGGGCGGGAGGGCCTGATAACCCGGGTTATCGCCTGACTCTTAAAGCAATCTCCATCAGGGCGTCACTGCTGAAAAGAATGCAAAGCCTGTCCCGGACGAGAAATTGTGTCACGATGCGATTGGCGCAGGGTGCGTTCCAGAAATTTAGAACTCTCAAGTCTCTGGAGCCCATGCGAGACATGTAGGACATCGTTGAGATGTGGGCAATCTGGGTAACCTTGGAACGTATCAGTATCAGCATCATGAGCTCTTGCTCCTGTTCTTCTGCAGCCTGCGAGCCCACGCGCGTTTGGAGGCGCCTGGGGGGTCTGCACTGGATGGGCACCAGCAAAACCAGCAGGGGGGAGGGAGGGTAAACTCGCCACCCAATGCCCTCCTGGAACAAGCATTATTGTGGCAACTCATTGGAGCCTCCCATACATTATTGTCGCTGCGAATCGACGCTAATCGGCGCTAAATCAACGCTAATCGACGCTACATCGACTCTAAATCGACGCTCATTGACGCCACATCGACGCCAAATCGACGCACACCGAAGCTGATCGGCGCAAAACCGGCACGATCTTATCGAAAAGCAAACGCCAATCCACGCTAGCGCACTCTAAAGACAGAATTGCGAGGGTACACAATGCTCCCATGATTTGCTACCGTACAATTGTTTGATCTGCGGGGCGAGCGCGAACCTCTTCCGCTAAAAGCCAGGCGGGCTACGCACAGCTTTAAGCAGGGAGACAGGGTACAGGAAGGCGGGGCCTCAGGCGGCCGGAGTGGGCGAAGCCCAAGGGTTGACTACCTGCCAGACCACCCCAACCCAACCCGAAGACCCGAATTTCGGGTTGGGGGGGGGGGGTAAGGGTTCCACATGTGTTTTTTTTCCGATGTTTCCCGACCCCCCCCCCACTGGAAATCGAGGGTAAATCTGAGCCTTCGGGTTGGGCTGGGGGGTGGTTTGGTGGGTGGTGAAAGGTGCAGGCGGTGCCGAAGTGGAGATTTGCTACCGTACAGGCGGCCCAGGAGAGGAAAGCGCGAACACGAGAGATGCGTGGCGTGGCTGCGCGCGTCTGGCCACGGCGGGCCGGGCAAGCCCGCATTCCGGCTCACTCGAGTCTTTCGCTTCCGCTTCTTCCTGGGCGTCGACCTGGACAAGTGGCACGTCCCCCTCTGCAGCGCCTGGACAAACAGGTTCCCCCCTGGACAAAAAGAGTCTTTCGCTTCCCCTACGGTCCAAAAAAGGTCCTTACTGCAGCGCATGGACTACCGCCGGCTCCAAGCGCGCCGCCCGCTGCTACGCTGCGGTGGCAACTCACGGGAGCCTCCCGTACCATGTGGTCGGCTCCTGCGAATCGACGCGAATCTACACTAAATCGACGCTAATCGACCCTACATCGACGCTAATCGACGCTGTCTCATCGACTCCCAGACGCTAATCGACTAATCGACGCTAAAAGGCAGAATTAAGAGAGGACACAAGGCTCCCACGATTTGCTACCGAACACCACCCTTTCCTCCCGCCAGAGCTCCCTGGAACTCACGGACCACACCCGCGATGTGCCGTCGTCCGAGGCCGTGAGCGCCTCGCGCCCGTCGGGCGAGTAGGCGGCCGACAGCACCTGCCGCGAGCAAAGGGCGCTCGGTCCGCTCCTGTCTTGGGGGGGGGAGGGTTCTGTCGGGGATGGACAGAACCCCCTTTAGTAAAACGTGGCTTAGTGAAAACAACCTCGGGCCCAAACCTGGCGGGCGCAAGCCCGGAAAATGACGGCCACGGCGCCCTCTCGAGAACCGAAAGAGGATAATTCACTAATCGACGTGTCAGGGTGGGGGTTCTATCCACCCCCGATTCTGCAGAATTACGGAGCCCACAAAGGACGTACGCGCCCGGCCCAGTACTGAGCACGACCCCCCAGCGACCGTTCGCGCGGTGCTTACTCTCAAAACCGACGCGGGTTCGTGCACAGTCCGACCTGAAACAGAAGAACACCTTCCAAGAACATGAGACCCTCCGCCAGCCAAAGCACCCCAACCCACAAGATCGCTCAAAGGTACCCTCGCCCCAGGATGCACAAGAACATCCGAACAAGCACGAAGAACGCTAGGGTACCCTCCCCGAGCCGACCTCGATCTCATAGAGTAGGGGCCCGACCACAAGAAACCTTCCACAAGAAACCCGACCCTGAGACCCCAGGGCGTACATTGATTTTTGGTGTGGGAAGTTCACGCTGTCCATAGCAAAACCATCGAAGCACAATAATCAAAGGGACCACTGGAGGCGAGCAGGGTGTTTCTTGGCATGGGACCCTACTGTACCTCGGTCCGACCGCACATGTACGTCCTCCATTCGCTCCTTGCGTGCTGGGCACCCTCCGACTTAGCCGGGCAAACCCCCGCGTGCCCCAACGCCGAGTGGACCCGCAGGAATGCTGCCCGCAAAAAACGCGGTTGCAGGCACGGTTGCCCGCACAAGGAGGGGCGCACGGTTGCAGGCACCAAGGGCCCGCGTCTCCTCCCAGGGGGGCAAAAGGGCTTGCCATCGATTGGACCTCCATTCTCCGTGCATGTGTCGTTCTCGTGCTTGTTTTGTTATTGTTCCGCGATCTCGGATGCTGCTCGATGGCCCTCGCCGAAAAAACTGCGCACGTCCGAGCGACGCCAGGGGAGGAGGGGGGCGCGGCGCGGCGGCACCCGTGTCTCGCCCAGTCGATAGGAGCGACCGCCCACACGTCTCTACCTGGGAGGGGGAGGGGCAGGGGTGCTGGGGCTACGCCACCAAACTCTCATACACAGACGCCCTCCGAGGAACTTCGCATGTACCTCCAGGGAGGGCGGCGGTGTATAACATCGCTGGCTCTCAGTGGTGATTTATACACTGCCACCCTCCCCTGAGGCCCAAGAACACTCCATTGTAGGGCGTATTTACATACCTGTACGAACACCCTTCGGGTGATAAGGAGGTTGTGGGGTGGGGGAAGAGGGGGGGGAACCAACATCTGACTCAATCGATCTCGCTATCGATCTCACTCAACGGGACACCACGGGACACCACGGGACACTTGTCGATCTCAGCGTCGATCTCACTATCGATCTCACGCAAAAGGACACCACGGGCCACCACGGGCCACAACGGGACTCCGCGGGACACCTCTCGATCTCACTATCGGTCTCACAATCGATCTCAAGATCGATCTCGCTCAACGGGACACCATGGGAAACCACGGGACACCACGGGACACCACATCGATCTCACTATCGATCTCACTATCGATCTCACTCAACGGGACACCACGGGACACCTGTCGATCTCACTATCGATCTCACTATCGATCTCACTTTGTGGGACACCACGGGACACCACGGGTCACTATCGATCTCACTATCGATCTCGCTCAACGGGACACCATGGGAAACCACGGGACACCACGGGACACCACATCGATCTCACTATCGATCTCACTATCGATCTCACTCAACGGGACACCACGGGACACCTGTCGATCTCACTATCGATCTCACTTTGTGGGACACCACGGGACACCACGGGTCACTATCGATCTCACTATCGATCTCACTCAACGGGACAACACAGGACACCACAGGACACCGCGAGCCACCGCCGGACGGGCGGGAGGCGGAGAATTATTTGTCTTGACTTCGCCCTAGCAACTTGCGGACACCACGGGACACCACGGGACACCGCTAGGGCCACCGCCGGACGGACGGACGGAGGAGAATCATTTGTCTTGACTTCGCCCTGGCAACGGCGGACACCACGGGACACCACGGGACACCGCTAGGGCCACCGCCGGACGGACGGACGGAGAAACAGTTGTCTTGACTTCGCCCTGGCAACGGCGTGTTCATTCCTCTCGCGCGCCCACGCAGCTTCGCCTCGCCCGCACGCACGACACGAACGAAACGAAACAATTTCCCAGTTGGGGGTCTCCGTTCCACTGCGATCTCACTTCCCAACCTCCGATAACGGCACACCGGGCCGAGGGGCCGAGGGCCAGAACCTCGACCGCAAATGTGGGCCCCGGGGCCTGGGCCCGCCTCTGGGAAGCCTAAAATCGCCCCAGGGAGCGATGCGTTTGAAATTGCCCCGGAGGTCCCCAAGACGCCCCAAGAGGTCTTCAAGATGCCGCCCGAGAGCGCCCCGTGAGGGCAAAATCGTTGCTTATCATAGTTTGTTGTTTACGTGTTTTTTTTGCATGCTCGCTGTTTCATGTTTCCGGCACTAAAGCACCGCCCAGGAGGCTCCCAACAACGCTACTGATGCCACGTGTCCGTATGACGAACCATGGATCCGCGCTTCCGAGGCCACGAACACTTGTAACAACCTACATGTCCACCACTTCCGCAAGTTCCTGGGAGGCCCAGCGGAGTGACGTCCCTCGGGGACCCAAAAGGGACCTCGCCAGGTCCGCAGGTGTCGCCACTTTTGTAAGCTCCTGGGAGGTCCAGCCGAGCGACGTCCAACGCGAGCCCAGCAAAGGGACCTCGCCCTGCCTGGGGGCTGCCAACTGCGCAACTGCCCTGCCTGTGTGCTGCCACCTGCGCAGCTGATCGCCACGTTCGTGAGCTCCTGAGAGGCCGAGCGCTGTGACGTCCTACGGAGCCCCAAGTGGGACCCCGCCCTGCCTGGGTGCTGCCAACTGCGCAACGGGAGCCACTTTCGTGAGCTACTCGGAGCCCCATCGGAGCGACGTCTTAGCAGGACCTAAGTAGGACACCTGCCTGCCTGGGCTCTGCCCACTGCGCAACTGTCGCCACTTTCGTCAGCTGCTGGGAGGTCCAGCCGAGCGAAGCCCCACGGGGACCCAAACGAGACCTCGTCATCCCTGAGCGCTGGCAACCGCGCAACTGTCGCCATTTTCTTGAGCCCCTGGGAGACATGGTCGAGGGACGACCCACGTTGAGGCGAATGAGCCTCGCCTCGGGCCAAAACGATCGCCCCAACACGGCCCCAAAGACCCCCCAGAGGGCGCCACGACGGTCCCAAGGCAGTGCCAGAGGCAGCGGAGAAGGCCCGAACGGCCTCCCAAATTCCAGAGTGCTGGAGCCCGGGCCGGGTTTCCGCTTCTTTTTTGTTCTCCCTTTTGCCCCCCCCCCCCGCCCCTTCCCCCCCCTTCCAGAGCCTCCTGGCCCCCACCCCAGGCCACCCCGGCCGCCCAAAACATTTTCCATGGGGACACGATAAGGCGACGACAGCGGCGCAATACGGCCCAAGACGCCCCGAGATGGCTTCAAGATGGCCGAAGAGATTCCAAGAGGCCTCCAAGACGCCCCAGGAAGGCTCAAAGATGCTCCCCAAGAGGGCCCTGGAGGGCCAAAACTACCCCATTCCCATTGGGAAGTTTATTTGTTCAATATATTTGGTTGTCAGGTCATCACAGCGCCCAGGACGACTCAAGAGGCCACGAAGATCGCCCTAAGACAGCTCAAAATGCCCCCAAGAGAGATCCAAGACGGCCCAAGAGAGTCCCAAGACGGTCGAAGAGGCGCCCAGGACGGCCCAAGAGGGCCCCACGAGGGGCCAAAGAAAGGGAACTCCAGCTCACATGTCGAGCCATCCGGCCCAAATTGACTTCCCAGACCGCCAGCAGGCCCAAGAGGCCCCCACGAGGCCTGAAAGAGGCTTCAAGAGGACCCCAAACAGGCCTCAAGAGGCCCCAAGAGGCTCCAAGAGTGGCTCCCAGGAGCGCCCGAGAATCATTCCAGGAGACCCCAACGGAGACCCCCTGCAGGGTGACAGCACGCCACCCTGCAGTCCAGTCGGGTTTGCTTCGCCTTCGCGGGCGCTCAGCGTCGCGCTAGCTTGGGGGGGCGAGGACCGAGAAACTTGGTTTTGGCCGGCGGGACATTTTCATGGCCCGTCGCCCGGCAACGGGGCAGGCCATTCGTAGCCCGCCCCGACGCCCACGACATTCCGCCCGCGGTCAAGGGGGGGGAGGCCTGGGGTCGCTCTAGATTGAAGCCTTGGTGTCCCGAGGCGCCCCCCCCCGCCGCGAGACGCTGTCAAGGTTGGGTCCTGGGGGGGGGTCAAGGTTGAAGCCACAGTGTCCCAAGGCGCCCCCCTGTTCGCGAGACGTGATCAAGGGGGGGTGCCCAGGAGGCGTTCTAGAAGACCGCAGAGCGAGGAGCGAGGAGGTTGGTTGGTTCTCCTGGTTTCCGCTCGAGTCTCCACTCTTTGTCTCTCTCTCTCTCTATCTCTTGTCTCCTCGGGTATCCACCCCGCCGCGAGACGCGGTCAAGGGGGGCGGGGCCCAGAGCGCTCAAGGTTGAAACCGTGGTTTCCCGAGGCGCCATCCCTGGCCGCGAGGAGCGGTCAGGTACCCGTGGCGCGCTCAAGATTAGAGCCGTTGGGTCTCGAGGCGCCCCCCCTGGCCGCGAGACGCGGTCGGGAACTGGGGGGCGCTCAAGATTGAAGCCGTGGTGTTCCGAGCCGCCCCCCACCCCCGCCGCGAGAAGCGGTCAAATGGGGATGCCCGGGGGACGCTCAAGGTTGAAGCCGTGGTGTCCCGAGGCGCCCACCCGCCGCGAAACGCGGTCAAAATGAGGCGGGTTGAAGCTGTGGTGTCTCGAGGCGCCTCCCCGGCTTCGAAGCGCGGTCAAGGCC